CCACGACTTGAGTAACCGCCACCGGAATTGTCAGGGCACTCGCGGGAAAAGTGTCCAGAAGCACCACACTTGTAGCAAGAATTGTCACCCATGTTGAGAAGAGAACACCACCGACCAGACAACCAACACACTGAATAGTGAAGAGGAGACCCTCAGCGGCTCCTTTAAATAAAATAAAGGCTAAGGGGGTGCTGAGGGAGGGGGTAGGGGTAGGGAGCTCTGGCCCGTTTGCGGCTCCGCCAACGCTCCCACGCCACGCTAATTATCACATGGTGCCCTCGTCAGGTGATAGGTGGAGGTGAGGGATGGGGAGGGTGAGCGGATAGCTCTGACTGGCTCCGGCAGCTGTGACTACAATTTGATCCAGGCTAATCCCTCCTACCGCCTAGCCAACAGTTAATTAACCCAATGTCCGCGTTTAATTGCACGCAGGATAATTGTTCACACTTACCAGAACCCACCAAACAAACCAGGTTAAACTAGCTAATTGGTCACTCCCTCTCCCCTGTTGCGTAATTTACACAGGAATGCAAAAATGTCAACCAACCCTGCTGTCTTTGATGAACGCTCATCGATCGGAAACGTAACTCGTACAAAAGCGTAACATCAACAACTTCAGTAACTGTTACGGCGGCCGAAGAACAAGCAGCATTTGTGCAGGACAAAAACAGTCTGTGCGAAAACAAAAAAAAAAACAGGGGAAATGCAAATCCGACGACAAAAATAATAAGACAGAGTTCCCTTGGTGATCGGTGAGCGTTCATCAACGAATATCCATATGTCTAATCTAAGCCAACTACGAGTCAGCTGCAGTGTTGTGCACAATCTGGGGCTCGGTATGGCTGACTGATAATGGCTAATGAGCCAGAAATTACCATAACAGTTTCCCTAGGTCTTGTCGACACATCTTGATTAAGATCTGTAGAAAGCGTACTTTTAACAACTCGTATCGCAACTTACTTATGGGTACGTTAATCAAACTGTAAAGAAGCATAATCTGGGAGCGTTATGAAGTGTTTTCTGTCGATGGTATAGATTTTTTTGAAGACGGAGCGGAAGCTGATCGACTTTCAAAATTTTCCTTGTCACTTTTCACGAAGGAAGTGGGATAAAATTACCGACGTAGATACAGCAGTCGAGACTCTTCACTTTTCCGAGACTATTGTCCCAAAACATCTGTTAGGGATAAAGAAACCTAAGTCACCGGGTCCCATTGAAATATCGGTCAAGATGTTGAAGGTCCTTGCCAATGAGTTGGCAAAATCTCTCTCTACGATTTCCCAATCATCCTTCGTGATCGGATGTCTACTAGGCGATTGGAATTCCACGTGGATTACACTGCTCTATAAGAGTGAAAATCTGGTCTCCGCAAACAGTTATTGACCTGCCTGTGTTTCTTCAACGTACTGTAGAATTATGCAAAAAATAGTTAAACAACAACTAATGCAGTTCCGACAACAGTAGTTTATGTAGTGCACCTCATTAATCCCTAGTATCAGCATTTGTCCTACGAAAACGGTGGTTATTGGGTTTTGTAGGTGGGGAATTAGGGTAGTCAGTGGAATATACTTTAATAACTGCTAAATGCATTTGTATTTTATTTTATTTGAGGTGTTATTGATTTATGTCTGTAGATTTTCCTAATCTGTATTACCGTTTAAAGTATTGCCGAATAACCCGCTGATCAAATTGCAAGTTTCTTGAAATTTCTGAAAAATAGAAATGATGATTAGGATATAGTCTAATTCAACTTAACTGAGGTCCAACTTACCGTTCTGGAGTTAGATTGGCATAGTCCACGGCGCAAAGCGCCGCGCACACCTTCAATTTACAGGCGGAGTAACTTATTCTCGACGGCTGCGGGAAACAAATTCGACTGCGTTTTTTGCACTTTACACTTCTAAAAATTTCCATCCCTGCCAATCCTATTTTCACAGCCACAAAAACCCTAAAGCCATCGTATCCGTAGGACAAAATGATAGGACTAGGGGTATATGAGGTGCAATACATAAACTACTTTTGCCGCAGTTCCTAGAACAGAACCACCTGCTTTCAGATGTCCAGCACGGTTACCGTATGAAAGGTCCTGCGCGATATATTTGCTCTGCTGTTTAAAACGGTAGACTGGGGCAGTATGTACAGGGAATACGGTGCACGCAGTATAAATATGGACTCCAAATATGCCTTGGATAGCTTGCCACACCATCGCCTACGTTATAAAGTCAGCGGCATAGGAGTAAGAAGTAGGTTTCTGGCGTGGATGTCAATCTTCTTAATCGGCACTCACAAAATGTCCATATGGGTGGACGGCAGTCGGTCGAGGTTTTGTTATAGAGTGACTTAATTAGGGGGCCTGATCAAGTGTTTTCCGTCGAGAGGGTCTAGATCTTAACGAAGATGGAGCGAAAGTTGATCCTATTTCAGGATGTTTCCTACCAGATTTCACAAAAGAAACGGGATATGATTACGCGATTACTATTAAGTGGATACAATAGTTGACCTTGTTCAATTCACTGGGGCTATTGTCCTGAATGAAATGTTAGGCCTACAGAAATCCAAGTCACCGGGTCCAAATGAAGTACCGGCGGAAATATTGAAGGAGGTATTTACGATTTTCCAAACACCCTTCGTGATCTGACGTCTACCAACCGATTGGAATTCCGCGTGGATTACACCACCCTGTAAGGGTAGGATTTGGGTCTCTGCAAGCAATTAAAAAATAAACAACAGTAAATGCAGTTCCTAGATTATGACCACCTGCTTTCCGATGTCCAGCAGGGTTTCCATACAGGAAGGTCATACGGGACAAGGTTGTTCCACTGTTCAGAACGGTTAATTAGGGCAGTAGATATAGAGAATATATTGCACACAGTGTTATCAACGTTATTATACGAGACTGCCACGACCGCGATCTCAAATATCAACGAAAGGTTGAATTGCACACAGTCTATATCGACTTCAAGAAGGCCTACGGTAGCATGCCACACCATCGCAGCATAGAAGAAAGAGGTACGCTTCTGGTGTGTATGCAAATCTTCCTAATCGGTCGCTCGTACACTGTCCATACCAGTAAGAAGCAGTCGGCCAAGGTTGCGGTTGGGAGTAGTTTGCCCCAAGGCTCTGTACTCTGCCCTACTCTGCTCATTATTTACATAACGATTGCGTCTGCGAACTGGACTGCGATCTCCCCCTGTTTGCCGATGATATCAAAAGTTGGCGCGTCATTCGAACTGCAGCTGACGGAGAGCATTGACAGGCAAACCTTACCTGTCTCCACGATTGTTCAAATGACTGGCTCTTGTCATTAAATGAGAGCAGGTGCAATAATGTACGAGTCAGCAAAACTATTCCGTCTAACTGCACGGTTTAGCGACTGCCATTGCAAGAAGTGGAAACCGAGGAGGACTTGGGAGTTTGGAGGACACCCTCCCCCGTTCCATTGCGTTGGAGCCGTTAGAGATAGTTACATTGCGACCTCTAATCATGTAGGAGGGAAGATGTCGTAAAGGACAGAGGGGACTCTAATGGCCGTTTCTGGCTTCCTAGCCGTCGTCGGCCAACCACTGCCAACCCCAAGTTTGCAGGATCTGTGGTTCAATTCCGGGCGACTTGATCTCTTCTATAGAACACCATAAGCATAATTCCAGGAAGGGTCAACATCTCCCTACCCTACCGGAGGCTTTACTGTTAACTTAAAAAATAATCCTACTCGTAAACCTGCTCGAATCCTACAGATACCACTTGGTCTTAAACATAACCCCAACTGATATAAAACCTAAGTCTAAGCGTATATAGCAGGATTTATTTCTAGAAACAAATTTTCAGACAGTTTTTTAATTGCTACCCGTCTTTGCGGGAGATAGGTAACGAATAGAGTACACAACGTTTAGTTTTGCACAGAATCGATACATAACAGCAAGGTCATTATTCAGTGCGGCGAAAAGTCAATAACAATTTTGCCTTTAAACTTGAGATGCGGGGAGGAAGAGTGAGGAAGGGAATAAACAAAAATCAAAGGAAGATTAAATCTAGGCCTGTGATTACTAGAACAGTCGGAGGTTAACCACATGATCTAACTGCTTATATAGGTCGGGTTTCGCCCGTCGTATATAAGCTGCTTCCATGTACCGCAAGATGCGATTTCTTCGTGCTCGAACAAGTACTCTGAAATATGTTTTGACACCAACAGAGTGATTAATCTCTAGCAGATGTTTTGTAATGGAAGACCCTGGTACTTTGTTTTCTTGTTTAAAAAGCCAATTAGGTAAATGTTCAGCGGCCCTGGCAGCCAATTGCCTTTGCGTACGCCGAATGTACTTGCCTCCGCCGCATGATTGCATATTAGGTCGATCTTTACGTCCAATGGCACATTGGTGAATAATGACTAAACATCTAATGACATCATACATTTGTTTGCAATATTTTGGAGCTTAATTTCTTCAGTATATTGAAGGACGTCCTTTGTCGCGTAAGTGGAGAACCGTTGCTGAATGGGCTTTACTTGCCTGACATCCTACTGTGCTAGTTTGTGTTGACGTGAATTAGCCAGAGAGAGAATTGGCCTTAGATGCATGTCTTTCTTATGTGTTTTGGGCAGACCATATAGTCTGGGGATATGTGTACCTTTAGGATTTAGAAATAGCGCAGTCGTAGTATCGATCAAGTTTTTGTCCCGCAACATTTTAACCATTTTCCATACTGAGGCTTCTATTGTTTTGGTTTAGTCTTTACTTGAAGTCTCTAGATGAACTTTGCTCTGAGCACTTAAAATGGAGTCCATTCTTGTCACATAGTCCACTTAACGTGCCCTTGCGGATGCAAGTACATTGGGCGTACGTAAAGTCAATTGGTGGCCAGCACCGCTGAACATTGATCTAATTAGCTTTTTAAAGAAGAAAACTAAGAGCCACGGTCCTCCATTACAAAACGTCTGCTAGAACATGGTTACTTTTTGACCACAAAACATATTTCCTAGTCTTTCTTCGAGCACGAACTTGTAGGATACAAAACAGTCTATCCAAGAACCTGAAATAGGGCTATCCCAACTGTTACGAGCCAGTAAATAAGAACAAAGTCGTTTGCAGATAAAAGCACGTGCTTGTTCAATGTGTAATTTAAAATTTGTTATGTTCATCCAAGGCATATTTAAACAAGTAAAAAAGAGGCAGTTCAGTGTCACTACAAACTAATCGGACCTTATGCTAGGTGGAAGTAGCCTATGAACGACGGGAGAAACCCAACCTATGTAAGCAGTTAGATCGCGTGGCTAACTTCGAACTGCCCTCGTAATCGCGGGCCTAGATTTAACCTACCTTTAATTTTTGTTCATTCCATTCCCAGCGTTTCCTTCCCGTTATGTATTCATTTTATACAAATGCAACTGTTGTGCACTTCATTTCTTTTCTATCTCATACAAAACGGGTAGCAGTTGAAAATAGACCTCCAAAAAAATCCTGCTTTAAATTCGTACCTGGGAAACAATGCTTTAAGCCTAACGCTATTTGCTCTAGAGTGTGGCGCAAGAAAAACTGTATTGCAGGCGCTTCCTTCCAAATCCT